AAGAATACTTGAAAGAGATCTTGGAGGTGCCTGTCTCAATCTGAGGGGTTGGAGCAAATGCGGTCATATCTTAGAGCTTGGCTGTAGACAGTGGACCGTGTGGTGTGTCCTGGATGGAAGCTGAAGGCATGTAGGTAAGTGTAGCGGTCAGTAGGTTTCCGGTATAGGGTGGTATTTATGTGACCATCGCTTATTAGCACAGTAGTGTCCAGGAAATGGACCACTTGTGTGGATTGATCTAGGCTGAGGTTGATGGTGGGATGGAAATTATTGAAATCATGGTGGAATTCCTCAAGGGCTTCTTTTCCATGGGTCCAGATGATGAAGATGTCATCAATGTAGTGCAAGTAGAGTAGGGGTGTTAGGGGACGAGAGCTAAGGAAGCGTTGTTCTAAGTCAGCCATAAAAATGTTGGCATACTGTGGGGCTATGCGGGTACCCATAGCAGAGCCGCTGACTTGAAGGTATATATTGTTCCCAAATGTGAAATAGTTGTGGGTGAGGACAAAGTCACAGAGTTCAGCCACCAGGTTAGCTGTGACATTATCGGGGATACTGTTCCTGATAGCTTGTAGTCCATCTTTGTGTGGAATATTGGTGTAGAGGGCTTCTACGTCCATAGTGGCCAGGATGCTGTTTTCTGGAAGATCACCGATGGATAGATACCTTTGTTGTCCCCATTGTATACTGTCACATGAGGAAGACATGCTTTCTAGAACAGGGCAGACAACAAGAGTTTAAAGAATAGTGACACTTAATGCATCTACTCATTCACTCACACACACAAACCACATGTGAGGAAGAAATTATCATTTGTTACTGTTTATGCATAGTTTTAAGTTCACTTGTTGCTGTGGATTGTATGGATTGGCTTATGGTGAGGGAGGAACCATTAAAGGTGAGTGTATTTGCACCTACCCGTTACTGTGTACTAATAAGCACCATGACAGAATTGGTAACTTGCTGTGAGACCTACCATTTCCTTTTCTTGACCTTTTCTGAAGTTTTGTGGTTATAAAAGGAGTTATGAGAAAACTAGTCACAGTTCAAAGATGAGGAATATTAATGAGTTCTTTTGTAGATCATTTACCAAAAGACAAAATTTGTGTTTAGTGTGTCTTGCTAAAATTCTCTCCTAAAATCAATGAGAACCAGGTGTACCCTCTATATGCAGAATTTGGATCTAGAGATTTGCAGATCTTTAACAGTTAGCGGTGTATAATACCAGTACAGCATAACAGTTAAAAAGTGTTTGGTTGCTTTACAATTATAATCGAGTTAGGAATCCTATTACAACCTGGGAATGTCCAAGGCTTTAGTATGCTTACAAAACCAACACATAGCTTAACTTTGTTGCAACCAGGTTCTTGACTCAGTTATAGTTGTTGTATAGACAGAATTACCTTTCAGAAACCAGAATTTATTAGAAGCACACTAAGACCTAGATTCTTATCTGTTCCCAGGATCCTCTGGACACAGTTCTGTGTATGTGATGGGGGAAAAATGGGCTTGGTGCATGGGCAGGCTAATCCTGAGACTGATTCTATGCCTATGTAGTCCCTGGAGTAGTTTATATTAGGGGGTTCTCAACCTTTTTCTCCCCCCTGCGCCTCCAACATGCTATAAAAATTCCACGGCTCACATGTGCCACAACAACTGTGTTTCTGCATATCCAGTAGATTAAAAGCCAGGGCTGGCATTAGGGGTTAGCAAGCAGGGCAATTGCCCAGTGCCCCATGCCACAAGGGGCCTCGTGAAGCTAAGTTGCTTGGGCTTCGGCTTCAGCCCTGGATGGTGGGGCCTGGGCTTCAGCTTTCTGCCCTGGGCCCCAGCAAGACTAACACCGGCCCCTCTTTGGTTTATTTTGGTGGCCCCCTGAAAGGCCCCCTAGGGGGCCCCGGACCCCTGTTTGAGAACCACTGGTTTATATTATGCCAGTGCCAAAGGGTGATAATAGAGGGATTCTGACCCTAAACCTGAAAACTGACAGTGAGAATGTTGTGCCCTCATATTAGGAATCCTCAGGCTAACTTAAATTATTATTCCCATGTGAACTAAAAAAAGTTACAAATCACTACTTTACACAGTCCTTACTCTCTTGGGTTAATTAAAATGTTATGCAATTGTTACTTTGAGAACCCAGAATGAGATTTTTGTTTTAGGCAAACATTTACCAAATACTGAAATTTACTATATTGGGTACCAACTTTTGCTATAATTGACATTTGGAAAAAAGAATTCTTGTCTTCTAACACAGAATTAGGAAGAGCAGGTTTTTATCCTAAATTTAAATGTTCTGTGTAGTATGTACATTATATTATGGTAAAGTCACACCTCTTGTGCCTTGATTCCATATCACTTTGAATGAACTCATATAATACAGAGTATTCTTTAGTGCTATTTCCTGTAATTATTGTATCATTAATATGCTCTGATGAGCATGACTTATGTTCTTGAAGTGACTGGCAACTTTATAAAGAATTTATTTAAAATATATTATGAACGTGTCAGGGGGGAGGGATAGCTCAGTGGTTTGAGCATTGGCCTGCTAAACCCAGGGTTGTGAGTTCAGTCCTTGAGGAGGCCACTTAGGGATCTGGGGCAAAAATCAGTACTTGGTCCTGCTAGTGAAGGCAGGGGGCTGGACTTGATGACCTTTCAAGGTCCC